AATGAGTTTTTTGGGTTCATTGAGAACATGGTTGTTGTTCAATAATAAAATTATTCCTCAAAAATACAACTTGCCTAATAATTCTGCACTCCCTGTATGTACGGCTTACCAAGCACTGCTGTCTCTTTAATAAGTCCTCTTTCTTTTTTGTACAGAATAAAACAATAAGAGATGTACGCAAGGCGGTGGGAGAGGGCAAAACACCGTCCGGGGGCATGACCAGCAAACTCCAGGAGCCCCTACCTTCCACAGGCCAAGCCAAACCAGCACGCACTGGAGCCATCAAACCCCAGGCTGTCAAAGTAGAAGAGGGCAAGGCGTAATAATGGACCTTAAAATCCTCATCACCACCAAGCCTGCCAACACAAAGCTCATTGACCACTGTCAGCCTTTTTAAAACCCACCTTACCCCCAAGGCTCCAAGGCCCGGGGCCTGCAGGCAGACAACATAATGAAATGCCCCCTCTTGAACTTTCAGAACTGGACACTGTTATTTCACATCACGTATAGAGATATATAAATATATATAAATATATGCATAAACACAGTCTTTTAAACAGATCTCTTCAAGGTCCTCTTTAATTTATTATTAGTCACTTTTAAGGGGATATTGGTAAGAAGAAAAGACATTTTGTTTTTGTGTGTGCGTTTTCTCTGAAGTGGGGGAAGAGGAAAATGGCCAGCTCACATGGTTCATTTTCCATACTGTTTTGCCAAACTGTAATTACTCCCTGTTTATGGACTGCATCCCTTAAAGACCCGACAGGAACTTCATACAACTGAGAAACAAAGTCTGTTAACATTTTTTTTTTTTTTTTAAAAGCAAATTTGAAATGCAGTGTGGGGCACTTTTTGTTTTTCTTTGGTATTTTTTTCTGGTAAATAAAGTCACGACCCAGACATCCATACTAATGCTAAAAGACTTATTTCATTAACCCAGGAAAAAAATACAACACAATTGTTGGGCATCATGCATGTCAAACATAGCAGAAGTCAAGTGGATCACCTCAGAAATGCGTCTTTTTTGGGCTACTTAACCCAACACATGAACTGCGTAAAAACTGCTTAGATTCTTAGAAACTTTTTTTTCTCTTTAAACCGTTCTTTGCGTTTAGATTCTGTTGCTCACTCTGTATGTAAATTGAAAGGAGAAAAAAAAGAGATGGAGGTTTTACCAAAATTATGTTGCTTCCATGGGAAGTTCACTGGCATCGATGGCGTGTGCATGTGATGTGTTGAATGTGTGTAAACTTGCAGGACATCTACCTAGAAGCTAGCAACATTTCACAAAGACTGTACCTGAACTCGGCATTTATTATGCTGACGTGTGCTCTGTGTGCGTGCGGGGGTGTGTGTGTGGATTTGGATTGACCACGCTGAAAACATTTGTGGGTTCATTGTGAAGTTTTGGAGGGCTGAGAGGTGGGCATTCACAGTTGCTGTAAAAGGACTCTCAGACAGCTGATTGAAATGTTTGCTTTCTTATCGCTTTGCTTTGGGCTGTAATGAAATCAAACTGTGTTAATGAACATGTGATGTAAGCGATTTTTCTTTTTTCCTTCTTTAACATCCATTAGCGTTTGTTTTCTTTTTCTTTAGGGCTCCTGAAAGACTTCCATATTGTTCAGATCCCATTTCAAAATCACTGAGGGGAGTTATTGGAAAAAAAAAATAAATCTCATCACTATTTGATAATTCAAAATCTGTTTTCTGAGGTGGCACTAGCAATAAATGCAGCCTAACTATAATCACAATCAGGGTCCAATTAATTTTTTTTCCTCCGTTAGAAGCTAATTATCACATAACGAGGGGTGTTTGCTTGTTAAACTCAAATCCACCCTTTTTTCTTTTCTTTTTTTTTTTTTTTTTTTGTGCGAGCACAGCAGATCCAGCAGACTACGAAGGACTTTAAAACAAACAAACAAAAAACAAAAAAGTGTTCTGTTTGAAAATGTGAAGCTGATGGAATCATTTATTTTTGTTCGTCTTCTGTTTTTATAACGGGCGCTCAATTTGAAACTCACGACGCCCCTGCCATAACTGTTACTGCTTACTATAATGCTCCATGACACTACAAATGTTTATCTTTACAACAGTGTTTCACTGCTATATGTGTATACGCATACTTAACTGTACAGTTGAGCCTTGTGAGCAAAGGGAGGCTTAAACTTGCATTTCATTTTAGATATTGTGGCACTATAAAGGATTCGATGTTTAAAAAAAAAGAAAAAAGAAAAAAAAAAAGGTCACTGTGTTCTCAGAACGGACTGCTTTCACCTGTTAGGTTTATCGGGCTTGGAGTGTGGGTTATTTTTTGTTGTTGGTTTTTTTGGCCTCTTACCCCTTTCTTGAAAGGATCTTGGCGCTTCTCATCATTGTACCTGCACCGCAATGTTGCCCATTTTGAGGTTGTTTGGTTTTTGTTTTTTTTGTTTTTTTACTTTTAAGATGCATATTTCAGTTTTTGTCAGAGGACCAGTGCTTTCTACAGCTGATCCAGCATTCTATTTATCCTCTCTGACCTTTATCCTTTCAGGTATTTGGTCATTACTCTCCCTTGTTAAAGAAAAAGAGCTTATTGAGAGAAAATAAATAAAGCAGTTGTGATTTCTTAAATGCACAGTTGTTTCTGTACTCGCACTCTCGTACCTCAGATTCTTCTGATGGCAGCAATTATCGGGATGAATAGTTTGCAGTTTGTTGAATGTGTGGTGTCCTTGATGGGCAGTAAGGTTAACTGTGTACTAAATATGTGAGTTTCAAAGGAAAGTTTCAAAAAAAAGTTTTTTAAAAGTTTTAGGCTCTGCTAACCATGTTTGTTTTTAACACTGAAGATAGACAAGTTCAGTCTGAGGTGTTTGCGCCACACACCTGAGGACTGCCAGCTCTTAGTTCATCATTGTTTTCATTTTTGTAAGGAGACCCAAGATTGGAAGTCACTCTTAATCAAATCTGGCCCACTGAAAGATGTGAAGGGGAACATGGATTTTGTGCTTCTCCATTTATTTTTATAGGTTTTACAGCTTTTCCTACTGATAAAGACTTCCATGCCATTCATACTATCCTAAGGCAATTAAGTAATAGATGAACATTAAATTAAGAGAATATGAAAACTTTTTGGCTCAACAGTTTAGAAAAAAAAGAAGAAGAACAAAAACTTTATTTTAGTATTGTAGGACAGCCTGGCCAACAAGCTACCATCATTTTTTCATTAGGACACTTTATTTATTAGAGAAATATTTATTATATATTTATTTCTTACAGTTTAAGCCCTGCGAGTCATGTTGACAGATTTCTTTCTTTGTTACAGCAACATTTCTTTATCATGTAGAAAAAAAATGAGACATACTGTTGAAATTATACTTGTTTTTTCTTATACAATGATATCTTAAGGATTTAATGTGTAGTTAAACTTCTTTGTGCTGACAGAAAAGAGAATTGCATTTGGTCTGGCCCACTTAAGATCAACTTTGACATACCCCATGAAATCCATGCAGGAAATACACTTACCAGACACCAGAAAGGCAAGACTGGGTTGGACTCAACCTTTTTCCCTCAGGTTAAACTTTTTTTTTTTTTTTTATGAATTCAACAAGTTGCTGGAAACATTCCCCAGAGATTTTGGTTCCATTTGTTGACTGCACATCAGGATGCGAAACTCCTGTTCCAGCACATCCCAAAGGTCCTCTGATGGACTGAGATTGGCTGTGGATTCATTTCAAAGTCCAAGAAAGCAGTTTGAGGTAGTCTGAGCTTTGTGACATGGCACGCTGTCCCGAAGAAGCGCAAACTGTGGACATAAAGGGATGGCTATAGTAAGCAACAATACATAGGTAGGCTGTGGCATCTAAATAATGGTTTTTGATATATTTTGTATGATCATCAAGCACTCTGATTAGAAATTCTGGTAAACTCCCCAAGGCCCACAAAATAAATGTAAGGGTCACGAAAACTGAGGAGGCACAAAAAGAAAACTGAAAAAGCTCCACGTATTTTTCTGCCTTTTTTTTCTCCACTCTAAAAAAAAAAACCCACTCTAACTCTTCAGATTTTTTTACACCCACTCTATTATTCGGTCAGCAGTGGACACACAATGCAGGTTTTTGTGTCTTGGGAGCAACGCCTTTGCTGCTTTATTTCTTTTGTGCTGTACATTGTTTAACTGTAATCACAAAGTTACCTTTAGTAAACGTCCACATGTATTAATAACTTCCGTAGTAACACGGCAACAACGCACCTGTGTAGTTCAGGCACGGTGACGTCACTCGGGTCAGAGATTCCGGAGATTTTTGCGGCGTAAAAAAAACCAAAGGAGGCGAGTCTGGACGAAGAAAGTTTCTCCTTCCTTCCTGAGTGCGGAGCGGGAGTTTGCATACCTCACCGCGCGGCTTTCCACGAAGCTTTTGGAGTGTTTCTTAGCCAGATAGCTAAGGTAACTTTTCTTTCTTCTTCTTCGCTGTCTGAGGACAGAAAGCTGCACCATCTTCTTCGACGTTTTTCTTCCTGTGCTGCACTCGTGACGATAACGATAAACAGCGAAAAAGTACCGCCTCGCTCTGAATTTATCTGAAAACTTACATTAAAAAAAAAAAATTGTTAATTTTCTTTTTTTTCAGCATTTTCTACTACAAACAGAATCCAAGCAGGGGAAAATGGCTCTTGGCTAAAAGCTGGCTGTTTTTCCTCATTACTGCCTGTTCACACAGACGATAATCGTTAATAGGACTTTTTTAATATTTAATATTCGTCAGACCCCGTTAGCAGTTCACGGAAAAGTTGCTTAAAAAGAAAAAAAATCCATATCGCTCCTTAACAGAACATACGGCAGCCATCTTTGCCGCATAAAGTTAACTCTTCAACTGATTTATGAAAATAAAAAATAGAACATTTATGTTCGAACTATTATATTGTCATTTTTAATTAATAGATGACTGTCGACTGATTTTGATTGCTAAGTTTATTTGCACTCACATATTCAGCTTACATTTGAAGACAACGCAATGTTATTTATGCTGTTAATATTCAGATGGTCTAGTTGTTTGTTGTATAGTGTGTCTTAACTGTGTCTTAACTGATTCAGAATAGATAAAGAAAAGGAATAATTAACACATTTCTGTGCCTGTTCAAAACAAAGGAAAATTCTACATTGTTGTTCATTTGAGCCTTCTACCATAAATAAAGAGCTGGCAAAAAAAGAGAAAAAAAAGCTGCTTGGTAGAGTTTTGTTACTTAACACTATAGAGAAGTCTGAGGTGTTTGCTCCACACACCTGAGAACTGCCAGCTCTCGGTTCCTCATTTTTATTTTTTTTTTGTAAGGAGACGCAAGATCGGAAGTCACTCTTAATCAGTGCATTGCAACAATGCTGAAATTGTTGCAATTCGACTCAAGGTGCTTTATATTGCTGGCATATATGGTATCTATATTGGTATGAGCACCTTTATTCTTCACACTCTGAGGCAGGTTTTCTCGTAATTTCTTTAAGTAGTCTCCGGGAATGATTCTCCAAGCCTCTTAAAGAATTACTTCATTCAATAATGTCAAACCGGGCTCCATGAAGGCCAATCCATGACTGATAGTATCAGATTGTGTGTTTTATCTATTCAGGGATCCTTGGGATCATTTTCATGCTGAAAAATTAAGCCATTTTCAATGCATGCTTCCTAAGATGTGACTTTTTTTTTCTGTGTTCATAATTCTGTTAATTGCGACAAGCTTTCCAGTACCACTGGCTGAAATGGAGCTCCAAATCATGAAACAGCCTGCACTGTGTTTTAAATGTGGCTTTAGACACCCACAGTCTTACCTTTTTTCTGGCCTCCTATGTATTGATGATGAATTGGATTCATCACTCAGTCAGACTTTTTGCCACAGACTTTCAGTCCAGTTCTTGTTTAATTTTAATTCCCCCCTGTTTCCCTTCCTTAAAAATGTCTTCTTGACAGCCACTTTTCCAGTGAGACCATTATATGTGTTTATGTGAATTCAGATCAACAGGAAGCTAGATGTGTTCCTTTGCATCACAGAAGGCCACTCTGCAGCAAATCTGTGTGGAATGAGAACTGTGTCGCCCCCTGGTGGTTTGTTAATAAACACCAGTTTCTCAGATTTCAACCCCAGAAATACAGAAAATGTTAAAAACCTGCCCAGTAAACAAAACAAACAAAAACAGTGTATTCAAAAAGATTAAAACAAATATCAAAAATCAAAAGCAAAACCTCAGCTAACATATCGAACTGTTTACATGTTCACAAAAAAACAAATGACATTAGGCATAACATACTCTTGGTTGATGCCAATACATTCCTATAGGGGTGGTACTATAAGCTGAAACATCTTTGCATAACAGGTCTGCTTCTCTGATCCAGGATGACCGCCAAAAGTGCTGTCAGGCCCGATGAAGGCCTGATGATGATGCAGGAGCTTGATGACCGCCTGAAAGAGCAGATTGACAAACTGGAGCATGTTCGCCTTGGTGCTGTTGAACTGAAGGATAACTTGTCTGGGGTACTTTCATTAAAATGCTTATCTATGATATAAACAATTGTTTAATAAAATTGTATTATAAACAAACCTTTTTTTGTTTTGTTTTGTTTTAAATTCAGAGCAACAGTGATCTAAGCCAGTCTATCAGTGACCATTTGGAGTGGCTGAATCACCTGTCTGAGCGAGTTGAGACTCTTCACATGAACACCACTGTTTTTATTCAGGTGGGAACGGGATGGGTTGTCTGAGGGGATGTAATAAA